TCTATACCTTGCAAGGAAATTTTTGAAATTAGATAGGGACGATTTTAAACGATATACCGTCTGTTCATCTTGTCATACTTTGTATGAAATTTTTGACTGTGTTTTTGAAAGAAATGGTGTCAGGTATGGAAAACAATGTCAGACAGAATTAAAAGTTCGTGGTAGATATGTTAAGTGTAACACACCTTTAGTAAAACAAGTGATTTGTAAAGGCAATGTTCGAAAATATTATCCGATCAAAGTTTATTGTTACAACAACCTTATTTCAGGGATTGAAAGAGTTTTGAAAAGAAAGGAAATAAAAGAAATTTGGCAACACTGGCGGGATTGGGAAACTGAAACAGAACTTTTGAGGGATGTTTATGATGGTAGGGTTTGGAAAAATTTCATGTCTTTTAATGGGGTTCCCTTTTTGTCTGAATTACAAAGTATTGGCTTAATGATGAATATTGACTGGTTTCAGCCTTTCAAAAACCGTAATGATTATTCAGTAGGTGTTATTTATTTTGTTTTGCTTAATTTACCACGGAATATCAGGTTTAAATCAGAGAATGTAATAGTAGCAGGTTTAATTCCAGCATTCAAGAAGGAACCCCACAGTATTAATTCTTTCTTAGATCCAATTGTGGATGAGCTACAAGTGCTATGGAAAGGTGTACGTTTAGAATCCAGTTTTTTAAATACTGCATCTGTCTTTAGAGCAGCTTTACTATGTGTTTCATGTGATATACCTGCTGCTAGGAAGTGCTGTGGTTTTAAATCCCATGCAGGTAGACTAGGATGTCATAAGTGTTTTAAAATTTTTCCTGGAGATTTTGGTGAAAAAAGGGATTATTCAGGATTTGATAGGCAAAATTGGAAACCAAGGACAAAGTCACTTCATAATTTATATGCTAGACGGGTGAAAAATGCAACAAGCAAATCACAGGCTGATAAATTATCTAGAGATTTCGGGACATACTATAGTGTACTTATTGAATTAGAATATTTTGATGCTATTCAGTTTTGTGTTATTGATCCTATGCATAATTTGTTCTTAGGCACAGCTAAGAAAATGTTCAAACTTTGGGTTGAAAAGGATATACTGTCTTCTGAAAATTTAGATAAGGTTGAGGAAAGACTTGCATCAATTAATTCTTTGACAGATATAGGTCGTATTCCAACACACATTTCTGGAAACTATGGTGTTTTTTCTGCTGCTGAGTGGAAAAACTGGACAACAATATTTTCTTTGTATGCTCTTTGTGGTATTTTACCTGATAAACATTACAAATGTTGGGAAAAATTTGTCTTAGCTTGTCGGATTCTCTGTAAGCCTTTTATTTCTATTACTGATGTACAAAAAGCAGATTTATTATTGTTGGATTTTTGCAAAACATTTGAAAAAATTTATTGTCTTAAAGATGTTACATGCAACATGCATTTGCATAATCATTTAAAAGATTGTTTGCTTGATTTTGGACCCATCCATGTGTTTTGGTGTTTTTCTTTTGAAAGATTTAATGGTGCTTTTGGTTTTTTCCATACCAATAACAAAGCAGTTGAAATCCAGTTCATGAGGAAAATTATGACAGCCAAGTTTTGTGATTCTTTTCAGGATGTTTTACAATTTCATAATGAGGATAGATTGTCAGATATTTTTTTTTACTCAAAGTAGCCCTCTTGTCAACACGTGTAAAATTACAGATATAATTCAGTTTTTGAAAGCCTCTGAAACTGTGTCTTTTACATCGCTTACAATGGATGTCCTGCAATTTGTTTCATTGCCGAAAGTTTTCAAAGTTGTTGCTCTTGACAAAGATGATATTGTTTTTTTAATGGCATCATACAGGAAAATGTTTCCATCAGTTTCTTTGAATATAGATGATATTGGGGAAATAATTAAAAAATTTGGTTATGTCACCATTTTGGGCGAAAACTTTGGGTCTAGGCACCTTCATAGAAAACTGAGGTCTTCTGATATCTTGGCTTGCTGGGATACGGACCCAGGTGACAATACAGGCCATCCTACAATGGATCTTCAACCTTGTAGGGTTGATTTTTATTTTTCACACACTGCTAAAATTGAAGGGAATAGTGTCACAAATATATTTGCAAAGGTGTCGTGGTACAAAGAATACTCAGAAAGGTATAAATATGGAAATGCTCTTCAGATGTGGCACAGTGATAAGTTTGAGTCTAGTGGTCAGAACTGCTTTCTTCCAGTTCAGAAGATACATAGTCGGTTTTCGAAAGGGATCACAGGTGAAAGTAAAGACTTGATGTGTGTCTGTCCAATTCCTAGACGTGTCTTAAGTGACAATGATGAATAAAATATGTGATCATTGAAGAATCAGTAGCTGGTGTAATGTTTAGCTTTTCTTGACATTTATTAGAGAATTCTGTGCTATTGTAGTATAATGTAGTAGTTATTGTTTTAGGTTGCATGTTTCTGGAGTAGAAATCAAGATTTCTTGATGTACTATCATGTCATAGTGCTACTCCAGAACATAACTATTTAAAACAATTATGTTTTGTACATTTTATTTAGATTATAATTTAAGATTTAATTTATTACTGGTCATTATGCATGTGGCATTGTGAAAGCATTTATTTGATAGTCATATTCTTGGAGTAGAAATCAAGATTTCTTGATGTACTATCTTGTCATAGTGCTACTCCAGAGCATGATTATTTAAAACAATTATATGTAGTGCATATTTAGGCAATATTTTAAGACAGAGCTTCTTATTGTTCATTATGCATACAAGTAAAGTTTTGATTGCCAGTATGATTTTTGGGGTTATCTTGTGTGTATCATATACTAATACAATATACTAAAGAATTAAAAAATGGTAATAGATTTTTTTTTTGGAAAAAGCTACAATTTGTTCATTAATTATGTTCATTATAAATGATGGTTGCAATAGTACTTTATAGTAATTGAGTAACTCATGGGCCACTCCAAGTTTTTTCTTTGTTTACCGTCCATGGACGGATTGGTTTTGAGGTTATGAGATTAAAAACAAACACAACTTAAAATCAACAAATACAAATCTTTGAAACGCAATTTACTCTTTTGGGATCTGCATCTCTTTTTTTTTTTTTTTTTATTAAAATGGAGTACCACTTTTTTTTTAAATAAACCAGTAGTTTATCTAAGTTACAGTGCAAGGAGATTTCTGAAATGATGATGAGAAATTCTAAAATGCTTAAAATGTGTATTTTTCCGTTTAGTTTGTGTGTGTTTTTTCTGGATAGAAAGAAAGATTTTTAAAATTAGGGTGGACGCTAAACAAAGGAAAAAATTGGAATGGCCTTGAGCATATCTTGTCAATAATTTTTTAGTTGAATGCTCTTTGTAGTACTGATTTCCATACCTGACACCTACGATGTTTATTTTCATTGAATGTTTTTTTGTGTTATTTATGATTTTTTTGTTAACAAAGACAAGGTCATTTTTTTATTCCTACCATGGTTATGTAAAAACATCAGGCACTGAAGCTCTAGTGGGTAAATACTAGTGCAGGGGTAGAACTGTGATTTTTTAAATTACATTTTCTTTTTGCAATACTTACTTCCATTTTATACTTATAGTATTCTTTACTATGTTCTACTGAAAAGATAAATGAGCATGTATTGCTGTCAAATTTTGTCCCGTTTTTTGATTGATTGGGATTACTCTTTATTTTTGTTGTAATGATACTCCTATTGTAGATCGTTTATACATACGATATAATACAATGTATAATGCATTAGATTACTTGATCCAATTGGATTATTTTGTTACTCCCATTCTATAACTTCTGATTCATATATTCTACGTATATGTCATAATTATATATTTTGAGCATTATTATGTTATCTTACTCATTTTACAACTAATATTGATAGGAAAAAAAGTACATTATTGCATTTAGCAAATTGTCAAATTGCTTAAATTTTGTAGATAAATTAATAAATGTTCAAAAATGATAGCCTCTCTTTGTTTATTGATGGCACTTTTCAATGCTGGAGATACAGTAACACATGCTTATAGCAAAATGCCAGGGATAAACAATTTTGATCCATTAAATAAAAACTCATTAAATCCAATTTTTAATGTGTGCATAAATTACACACTGGTTTGCTGTAACCATGTTTTACTGTATAATATGAGTCCAGTGCTTCGTGGAAAGCTTGAAGGAATTGAAATGTGACTTCTCCACAGAGTTTTTCTTTTTTTTGGTCACAATTTTATGTTTTTGTAAATAAATATTTTAAGGGATCGTTGGAATCATTCAGTTCCTATTTGAAATTTTCTGTGAAATTTACACCTTTTAAGGTGAGGATTAAACGAAAAGATTACCGGTATATAAATTAAAGATTTAAAAAAAATGTTCAGTTGAAAATTGAGGAAATGCAAGATGATAAAGTGAATACTTTAAAGTGAATGATCATTGAATGATGAATGAATGATAATGGAAAGATCACTGAAAATTGATTGAATGGTGACTTAAAGTTGGCTGAATAGTCACTGAAAGTTGACCGATTGAAGAATGAAAGGTGGCTGAATGGTCACTGAAAGGTGGCCGAATGGCCACTGAAAATTGGTAGAATGGTGACTTAAAGTTGGCTGAATGGTCAGTGAAAGATTATTGAATGGTCACTGAAACTTGGCTGAATAGTGACTTAAAGTTGGCTGAATGGTCACTGAAAGATGATTGAATGGTCACTGAAACTTGGCTGAATGGTGACTTAAAGTTGGCTGAATGGTCACTGAAAGATGATTGAATGGTCACTGAAACTTGGCTGAAGGGTGACTTAAAGTTGGCTGAATGGTCACTGAAATTTGGCTGAAGGGTCGTTGAAAGATGACTTAATGGACAATGAAAGGTGGCTGAATGGAGACTTAAATATGGACTTAATGGTAACTGAAAGGTGCCTGAATGGCCACTGAAATGTATGTGCCATTCAGTGACTGAAATGGCACTGAAATTTTACTGAAAGTCGCCTTTCAGTTTCAACTGAAAGGTCTTAGTTCATCCTGTGATGCTGTTGCATCTTGTTCTTGACATGTGGGTGGTAGAGAATGTCTGTGTTTCCATGGGTGGAGATGTTAATGTGACCTCGAATACAGACTTAGGAGTTATTTCAGGGATGACCCAATTAAAATTAATTCCTGCAGTGTTATAATTTATTGTTTTGCCTTTTCCGATCTCATATTGCTCCCGAGCATTCAAACTTCTGTTGTCATAACTGAAATCAAAAAGCAGACTGATGTTTTGTAATTTCAGCAACACTCTTGGTGGTTTGGGAATTGGTGGCAAAGACACAATTACTTGAACATTGTTCATCTTGTTTTCAAGAGCAGCCTTGAAGTCACTGGCATTCAAGACATTATTTCCTTCATTCACAAATCTTTTTATTTACCATTTTATATGAGCAGCTTTTCGATCACAAATTGATTTACCGCCTTGTGGGTCACAGAAATCCATTCGTTTTATATTCATATCATTTCTGTTCATTTGGTTAATTCAAAGAACAACTCCAATGCCGTAAACTGAATGGTAACAGACAGCATTGTCAGACCGTACATAAACATTCTGCATTAAGATTCTTAATTCAAACCAGAGTATCTTGCAGAATGGCAGCTGATGTTATTGCATCCTGATTTGCAATATCAAAAACATGAACAAAGGAAGCTGATCTTCAGGCTTCCTATTTCCATGACACAACACTGATATGCCATGACAATCCTTTTTTAGCAATCCATTTTTACCCGTCTAGCATATAAATTATGAATGGACTTTGTCCTTGGCTTTCAATTTTGCCTATCAAAATCTGAATAATCCCTTTTTTCGCCAAAATCTCCAGGAAAAATTTTAAAGCACTTATGACATCCTAATCTACCTGCATGGGATTTAAAACCACAGCACTTCCTAGCAGCAGGTATATCACATGCTACACAAAGTAAAGCTGCTCTAAAGACAGATGCAGCATTTAAAAAACTAGACTCTAAACGTACACCTTTCCATAGGACTTGTAACTCTTAAACAATTGGATTTAAAAAAGAATTAATACTGTGGGGTTCCTTCTTGAATGCTGGAATTAAACCTGCTACTATGACATTCTCTGATTTAAACCTGATGTCCCGTGGTAAATTAAGCAAAACAAAATAACACCTACTGAATAATCATTACGGTTTTTGAAAGGCTGAAACCAGTCAATGTTCATCATTAAGCCAATATTTTGTAATTCAGACAAAAAGGGGACCCCATTAAAAGACATGAAATTTTTCCAAACCCTACCATCATAAACATCCCTCAAAAGTTCCGTTTCAGTTTCCCAATCCCGCCAGTGTTGCCAAACTTCTTTAATTTCCTTTCTTTTCAAAACTCTTTCAATCCCCGAAATAAGGCTGTTGTAATAATAGACTTTGATTGGATAAAATTTTCGAACATTGCCCTTACAAATCACTTGTTTCACTAAAGGTGTATTACATTTAACAAATTTTCCACGAACTTTTAATTCTGTCTGACATTGTTTTCCATACCTGACACCATTTCTTTCAAAAACACAGTCAAAAATTTCATACAGAGTATGACACGATGAACAAACGGTATATCTTTTAAAGTCGTCTCTATCTAATTTCAAAAATTTCCTTGCAAGGTACAGACTCGGTGGAAAGCCAATACAAAACTCGGATAACAGTTGGTTATTAACATTGGTTCCAAAAATCAGAAAAATCTTGAACAAAAACCGTAACAAATACTCAATTCCATTGTCGCTAATATGATGTACAGCTTGCAAATATAGAATTGCATATACTACACAAAACAACAAACTGTTGATGGTCTTAAGAGGGGAAGGTTGTACATCAATTCCAAGATCATCATCCAGACAATCAGCAGGGATGTCCCAGTCTTCTGGCTCATCATCATCATCTGCATCATCATTGTCTTCAGTTTCGGAAGACTACAATTACAAAATAAGCATTATATTAAGTAATTCAAGGTGTGCAAAGCAATGTAAAAAGAACTGATAACGATAGTATTGTTCTGCCACCTTCCTCCAAGTCAATTTTTAATAAGATTATTGCAATACTCTTACATCTTTTGGGATTGTGAAATTAAAAAAAAATTCACTTATCAAAGGTCACAGTGACCTTTAATTAAGGAGCGACACACCTTCTACTTAAGGTACATTAATTAGCTAAGTTTGATGATTTTAGGTCTAATAGTTTTCTAGCTAGGATTCGGACAGGATTTCTCAATATATGACCATAGCATCTGAATTAAAGGTCACATTGACCCACTTTTAATGTGTGGCACACCTTCTACCCAAGATGTATCCCCTGACAAAGTGTGATAATTTTAAGCTTAATAGTAATAAAGTATTAACCCAGACACAAAAAAGCTAACTGGCATACAGATAGACAGACATGACAAATAAAACATTGTATTTTATCAAACATATATGTTTAATTTAACATGAGTCAAACATAAAGAAAGATCTAGGAGATATTTATCCATATGTAGGAAAATTTTAAAATCTGATGGTGTTTTAAAGCTGATTTCAATGGAAATCATCGTTTACCATCCCCCTTCAAACCCGTTATAAAATAATGAACTTAGAATTCAATATTAATTAAAATGAATTGCATAGTGTTAGTTTGTATAGCTTACTTGGAAAATAAAATTGTTTTTATACCTGATCACTTTCCTCTGCAGCACCATCTGTTGGACAACTGGTTGGGATGTTAATGTCACCATGGTCACTACAACAGTTTTCTTCTTCTACATCTAAAACAATTATAGAAAATTAAATTACACATTATTATTGTCATAACACAATTCAAGCTAAAAGCTTAATACGAGATCTAATTCCCATATTTTTTTAACTGGCTAACCCGGTATTCGTAGGTATTTTTTTCTTTCATGTAAGTGCAGTCAAACCTTGTTTTCTCAAACTTGTTAGGACCAAGAAACAACTTTGAGATATCAAGTTACATTACTAGAAGAATTAGTGGTTAGGACTTCCAAATCACTTTGACATAGCCTGGTATTTAAGATGGAGTGTTGAATATATATTAAAGTTCAACAGATATTATTTTGATGAAATACTTTACCACTAACCAGTGAGATCTGTAACTTTTGCAACATCTGCAAGAAGGTTCTTGAATCTCTTTTCTGATTCCTCTCTAGCAGTTGTTCTGTCTGCCTCTGGACCATGATCCAACCAAGAATTAGTATCATAGTCAAAGAAGCTGGCATAGTGACGATAAAAGCTTCTTTGAGGAAAGTCTTCATGGCATACTGGACATCTCTTTCGTTTAGGCATGACAACCTTTAAAAACAATTAAAAAACTATACTGACCATATTTATTCTTATTATATACATTAAGCCCATTTTTATAATTATTATACATTAATGATATTACAGAAGGTTTACATAATGGTATCCGTTTATATGCGAATGATACATCATTGTTTGTTATAGTAGATGCTGACATTATTACTCCTACATTACCTCTTACATTACTTACAACCAATCTTAAAAAAAAAAATAAGAAAATGGTCAAGTTCTTGGGTTGTAAACTTCAGTGCTGATAAAACAATTAGTGTTAATTTTACAAGAAAACCACAACTTTTTCTAGACATTAATTTTTGAGAAAAAGGGGGCATTATTGGACCATACAGTAGTCTTTAGGGCTGTGTTAATATATTGATTAATCAATACGTATCGATATTCTGGAATGTATCGTATCGGAAAAAATAATTTCCAATACGTATTGGGCAGGCGGTTTTTCTTATAATTCTGTGACAAAGTTGGGAATTTCAGTCACCACAGATTATTTTTAACTGTTTTGAATTAAAACTGACCAACAATGAAATAAACATTAATGAGATAGCACATCTTAAATAACAATTAAAAAAATACAAAGACAACTATATTTTAACATGTTAGTTTTACAGTCATTAAAAGTTTGAATTTGAAGTGTACTTTGTAAAGACAGCTAGACATGAACTTCCAATTTGTCTTCGTCAAATGTTAAACTTTAATTGACCATCAAAATTAAACTTGTATTGCAAAAGGACTTTAATACTGTTATTTTATTTCAGATTAATTCCTTTACCTTTATTTATATACACTGTGAGGATTGATAAGGGATACAAATGTACATATGAAAAAAGTAATGTTAGGGTTGTGGTGTGGAAAAAAAATGTTGGTCTGCATAAAGTTAACATTTTTTTTTAAGTTGAGGGGTTTTATTTCAAGATCATTTGACAACACGATTTCTTGTGATTTATTGATAATTTCCATGGAAAGTTTGAATGGAAAGTCAAAAAAATTCAAAATCAATTCATAGTGAAAGTCAGGATCACATTCGAGGTCATATCAGTATACTTTGGGTCAAACGGCAAGAATATTTATATACATTGTATTAAATTCATTACAGATAATTGTACATACAAGTTTGAAAATAAATAACCACCTCTGTGTCAGTATCAGTTAAGTTTCAAATCGTAAGCTAATGGAATGCATACAATTTTTGTTTTCTATACAAATTACATTGGAAAAAATATCTTAAATCTTAAAAAGTACTTTCAAGTTTTTTTTTTAAATATATATTCAACAGATGAAGGGTGTGGCACTCCCAGTTTTCAAGTTGTGGATCATGAAGAGATTGTACCAGCTCATGCAAAAGCATTGGATGGACAGAGGGTCGGAGAATTGTCTTACGAGCCTGCCAGAAGTGTGGTCTCCCTTTTCAGTTGGTGCTTTCAACAACAATTCAAACGTACGATCTCTCGGTCATTTTAAAGGTATTTTTGTTTTGTTTATATTTATCCATATCTCCATTAGAGTGAAATATTCTACGAATTCTTCTTTGAGCCAGCATATATACTGTGACACATGACCTATTTTAATAATGTAGATGTTCGAGGATAATGATCTCATCCAAACCCCACAACTGCTGAGTGTCTGCAGAAGGAACAGTTGCTACCTAATACATGCCTTATGTACGTCACGTTCCAGGGATCGAACCAGGCCTCTCACTTACTGAGCTGACGTTCTACCAACTGAGCTACGGAACTGTTTCACTTTTCATTGGAATGTGGTCTGTCAAATATGTTACATAATTGGCGCAGTTGTTAAATTGTTAGCCTCTTTAACCCAGTTTGGTTTGTAGCTTGGGATACGTATCATATGTGAAATTGCTGACATGAATTATTTTGAATGTTTCCATTACTCTGTTGTCAAACTTGGTTTTGACTCACACTTGTTCTATTTTGCCGTGAAATATATTCGAAAAAAGTTAATGCTGCCTAAGCTCATCATACAACATGAAATAATTGTTACATTGCTTAAAATGAAATTTTAGGTATAATGTATATTTCATACAATTTGTTCCATGTTCATTAGCGCCCCGCAAGGATTTGCGGGTGCCCTATAGTAATCACTCTGTCTGTCTGTCTGTCTGTCATTCTTCCGTCCACAAATTTTCTGTTTTTTTATCTAATAACTTTTTTTGTAGTTGACCAATTAAGTTCAAAATTGGTATGTTGGTTGAAGAGGCAGTAAGACATATTTTGATGCTAAGTTTGGTTCTTTATGTCATCCAATTTGGAGCTGGGGTGGTGGGGTAGATTCCTTAACTTTACATTAGAATGAATGCCAGGGTAAAGAGAGATAACTGCTGAGAATGTTCCTAATGTAAACTATGAAAGCTGCAACTAGTCCCATGGGATTAATTAACTTTCCTCTTGAAGAAAATCAAAAGCATTATCTGTTTCTGTCAAATTGAGATTAATTAACACCTGTGTCTGCAAATGAAATTTGTTTTGAAGTTAAGGTCAATTATGAATGATGTTTACGTTCTCTGAAACGTGGATATAAATAATGTTCATACTTTATTTTGGTAAAATATACAATGAGTTATGATTTTATTGAATGCTAAAAACAAGATAAACATAATGATATGTTTTTTTTTTTTTTTTTTGGTTGTTTTTATTTATTTATTTTATTTATTTATTCATTTTTTTGTCTGTCATATGTAAATTCAAGAAATCTATTAATTATAATGGGTAGTCCAATAATAATCTCGTTCTTTCATTACTGAAAGAGTTCTGATTGTAAACTTGGAAGAAAAGGAAAAGAGAGCAGTACAATTAATCCCTTGGGATTAATTATCTGGGGCAGAAGATTTTCCAGGCTTATCTTTAGTTGTCACTTTAAGATAAATTAACTTTTGTCTGCAACTGATGTTTGTTTTGAAGTTAAGGTCAAGCCTGGGTGATATTTGAAAACACATGCTGTATTCTTGTTTAAATATACATTTAATCGAGTTATTATAGATGTGATGTTTTTTACTGCCTTATGTAAATACAGGGATACTCTTTACAGGTTGCTGGATATTTAGGAATTATCTTGAAATTTTATAAATACAGTTGTTATTGCATAGTCTTCTTCATATATTTTAAATATTTGTAGTCATTTAAAATTCTCATTCTTTTAGCTGCACCCTTATATTTCTACCCCTCGCGGGGCCCTTGCTGACTGGTCATTTTCAATACATATATGTATAATCTGGAAATGTAAATGGAATCATTTAACTGTAAATCGTAAACATGAAAATTTTGCAGAGAAAAGCTGTTCAGAGGAAATTTGGGCTGAATATTTTCAAAATGGCTCCACTTTTTTTTTACTGAAATTTGGACACATTGATTGGTTATTGTTATATTTCATAAAAATAATATGCTTTTTTAATTTCCATTATTCTGTATGTTGTTAAATATGTGATAACGATTCACATTTTCCATATTTCATTGTGAGTCAGTGGACGATATAGGTGGTTTTGTGAGGACATTAAGAAACCTTAACATTTTTAAAATGTTACACATGAAAGTTGTTCAGGTAATATATAGTTCATGAAATATTGTACCAAGTTCATCTTCCATTTAATTTTTTTCATTGAATTGTAATTGAAGACAAATTTAGAGCAGTCGTAAACGTGAAAATTTTGCTGAGAAAAGCTGTTCAGAGGAAATTCGGGCTGAATATTTTCAAAATGGCTCCACTCTTTTTTCTGAAATTTGGACACACTGATTGATTGTTATTATATTTTATGAAAATAAGTTGCTTTTTCTATTTCCATTACTCTGTCTGTGCTTTACAATTTGATTAAGATCCACAATTTATGTATTTTGCTGTTAAAAATTAGACATCATAGGTGGCGCTGCGAGTAAAGTGTATAATTTGTTATAATTTTTTTTATTCTTTTAAATGTTAGAACAGATGTTTCATGTTTACTAAAAATAAATATTTTAAAATTTTACGTCATCTTTGACTTAATTATTTAAATTGATATACGGACTATATTTTTAAGGCAAAAATTACACAGAGTTACCTCCCTTAGTTTGACAACCCCTAGATGGCAAACGGCGACACTCTTTTAATTTATTTTATAATCAAACATCCTTAATACATATGTGTATCCATTGATGCCAAAATCATTTGTTTTCCATTACTTTGATCTCACACTCATACTACCTTAAGAAGTCATCACCCACAAAAGAGGGACAAAATGAAAAAAATAGATCCGAGTCTTCAAACTACTCAACGCCGGTATGTAAGCTTTTTTTTATAATTAGGGTTTTAAAAAATGGCTCGTATAAAAAGGAAAGATTACAGAGAACGTTCAAAAATGAAGTAGACGAATTTTTTTTGGGACTCTTAAAGGAAACAAATTTTGAAACTTTTATTTTTTGTATGCTGTTTTAAGGGGACAAAATCAGCATGATAAATTTTCATCTAGAACTTTTAATTTAAAATAAAAAAAATAATTTCTCATATAAAGAATTATTTTATCAAGGAATCCTTCATGTTAACACAAAACGGACCAGGAACCTCAACGAAAAGCTCCTCGAATGACCTTGATACAGTACAAGTACGTATGATTTATAAAAATATTTTTCCTTCGCGAATTTTAAATGTAATGTAAGATATATCATTGTTTTTATTCCCAGCAGGATTCAAATGAAACTGATTCGACGAACAGTGTTTCCTTAACGGATCAGAATGCAACGCTGTCCGAGGAACCCTCAAATTCGGTATGTTCATTTTATATCTCATCCTAAAAATAAACATTTTCCCTGTATCAAATATATATATATTTTTTACACACACCATCTCTCTCTCTCTTTTAAAGAAAGGAAATTCCAAGAAAAACAAAGCAAAAGGAAAGGCATTGGACACCAAATAGAAAACAGGGGAGAAAAGTAAGGTACACTACTAGTTTTCACTACTATATTATAGCTAATTATTGCACTACCATC